TACCCTAACTGCCCTTATATTCATTACACCAGCTCTTATACCCTACCTGTCCTTATACTCACTACATGCCCTTATATTCATTACACCACCCCTTATACCCTACCTGTCCTTGTACTCACTACATGCCCTTATATTCATTACACCAGCTCTTATACCCTACCTGCCCTTATATTCATTACACCAGCTCTTATACCCTACCTGCCCTTATACTCACTACCTGCCCTTATATTCATTACACCAGCTCTTATATCCTACCTGTCCTTATACTCACTCTACCTACCCTAATACCTACTATACCTACCCTGATATTCTCCTTACACCGAAACATATACATATAGCCTCACCCCCACACCGGGTCATGACACTCACACACGTACAAGCATTCACCTGTATCTCGCTAAGCAGTTCAGTGGGACGTATCTGAGATCATGAGAGGCGATACTGTGGTGGTGGTGGTGGTGTTGTGGTTGTTGTGGTGGTGGTGGTGGTGGGTGAGATTATCCAGGTGGGTAGTTTATGGTGTGTTATAGATTATGTGGTAGGTGGTGTGGTGGTGAGTGGTATGGTAGTGTGGTGGGTGTGGGTGGTATTGTGGTGGGTGTGGGTGGTAGTGTGGTGGGTGTGGGTGGCAGTGTGGTGGAGTGTGGAAGTAACAGTGTGGTGGAGTGTGGGTGGCAGTGTGGTGGGTGTGGAGTGTGGCAGTGTGGTGGGTAATGGTGGCAGTGTGGTGGGTGTGGGTGTGGCAGTGTGGTGGTGTGGGTGGCAGTGTGGTGGAGTGTGGGTGGCAGTGTGGTGGGTGTGGGTGGCAGTGTGGTGGGTGTGGGTGTGGTGTGGTGGGTGTGGGTGGCAGTGTGGTGGAGTGTGGTCATCAGGTGTTGTGGTGGTGGCATTGTGGTGGGTGTGGGTGGCAGTGTGGAGTAGGTGTGGGTGACAGTGTGGTAGATTGTGGTGAGAGAGGATGGTAGTGTGGTGAGTGTGGATAACTGGTGAGGTGTGGTGGGTGGGTTGGCAGTGTGGTGGGTGTGGGTGGCAGTGTGGTGGGTGTGGGTGGCAGTGTGGTGGGTGTGGGGTGGCAGTGTGGTGGGTGTGGTGAGAGGATGGTAATGTGGTGAGTGTGGTAACTGGTGAGGTAGTGTGGTGGGTGTGGTTGGTGATGTGGTAAAGATTGCGGTGGGTGGCGGTATGCTGAGAATGGCATCTTATGTGTACCTCAAATACGTACACATGAGTTAACTTATGTGCACCTTATTTACGTACACATGTGAGCTAATTTATGAGTAAACTTTCCCTCAATTTACAACCGTTCCAATTCCTAAGATCGACCATATGCGTTCAATTTGGGACTCCAGTCAGCTGAGGAGGACGTACAGGTGTGGCAGCATGTGTCAGGTATGGTAGCATGTGTATAAGGTGTGGCAGATATGCTGTCAGATGTGGTAGAATGTGTGTCAGGTGTGGTGTCAGATGTGGCAAAAGTGCTGTCAGGTGTGGTAGGAGTGGTGTCAGGTGTGGCAGGAGTGATAGTATGTGTAGCAGCAGGTGTGACAGCAGGTGTGGATGGTATGGTAGCATGTATTGTAGTAGATGTGTCAGCGGGTGTGGTGACAAGCGTAGCAGTAGGTGTGGACTGTGTAGTAGTAGATGTGGCAGTCGGTGTGATGGTAGGCGTGGTAGCAGGGGTGGCAGCAGGTGTAACAGCAAGTATAACAGGTGTACCAGCAGTTGTGGAAGGTGTGGCAGCAGGTATAACAGGTGTGGTAGCAGAAATGGCAGCAAGTGTAACAGGTGTGGTAGCAGGTGTGTCAGCAGGTGTAACGTGTGGTAGCAGGTGTGTCAGCAGGCATAGCAGGTGTGGCAGCAGGTGTGGTAGCAGGTGTGTCAGCAGGTGTGTCAGCAGGTGCAACATGTGTGGTAGCAGGTGTATCAGCAGGCGTATCAGGTGTGGTAGCAGGTGTCAGCAGGCGTAGCAGGTGTGGTAGCAGATGTCAGCAGGTGTGGTAGCAGGTGTGTCAGCAGGTGTATTCAAGTGGGTGAAAGAAATCAATAAAGGTGATATAAAAGTTCTTGTAATATCCGAACAGGATAGGACTCGGAACAACGGATTCAAATTGGATAAGTTTAGGTTTAGGAGGGAGATAGGAAGGAACTGGTTCACAAATAGGGTGGTGGACGAGTGGAACAAGCTTAGCAATCTTGTAGTAAGTGCTGCAACGCTGGAAATTTTCAAAAGGAGGCTGGATAGATTCATGGATGATAGAGAGTGGTAGTAACTCTCGACAGGAGCTGCCATGCACAGGTCAATCGGCCTATTGCAGACTCCTTATTTTCTTATGTTCTTATGTAACATGTGTGGTAGCAGGTGTATCAGGTGTGGTAGCAGGTGTGGGAGTAGAGAAAGAGGACATCACTGTAGTCCGGAAACCAGTTTATTATTCATGAACGAAAGTTGGTAGTGTGAGGTTACCTGCCACCCGAGGTCACACCTGTTTTGGTACATTTGCTCACTCTTACACCTGTACACTAGTCTACTAACGCTAATTGTAACACCTGCGGAATGCGACATATTTCCTGCCACCATCTGTACTCTAACACCTGTTCAATGAAACTCCTGTAACCTTGTGTCTGTTCTACCCACTTTAATGATTTCATATTACATAAGAACATAAGAACTGCCTATTGGTCCATACTGGGCAGTCCCGTTTACACCCAACCCCTATTGCTCATATAAGCATCCAACCTATGTTTGAAGCTATTCAGCGTATTCGAGTTAATGATGATATTTGGTAACTTGTTCCATTCATCCACTGCTCTATTTCCAAACCAGTGTTTACCTATTTCACGCCTAAATCTAAATTTGTCTAATTTAAAACCATTGTTACGAGTTCGCTCCTGGTTGGATAATTTGAGTACCTTTGTAATGTCCCCTTTGTTTAGCCCTGCCTTCCATTTATACACCTCTATCAGGTCGCCCCTCGCTCTACGTCTCTCAAGGGAGTGCAAATTAAGATGCTTTAACCTGTCTCTATACTCAAGGTTCCTAATGCCCGGGATTAGTCTTGTCATTCTCCTCTGAATTCTTTCCAAGGATTCTATATCCATTCTGTAATACGGTGACCAGAACTGAACTGCGTAATCCAGGTGTGGTCTCACAAGAGCAAGATACAGTTTTAGGATGACCTCGCTAGTCTTGTAACTAACACTCCTTTGTATGAACCCAAGTACTTTATTAGCCTTGTTACGAGCAAAAACACATTGTTTACTTGGCTTAAGGTTCCTACTTATCATTACTCCTAAATCTCTCTCGCAGTCGGATTTCTCTATGGCATCGTTGTTCATCTGGTATCTGGTTTCCCTGTTTACATCTCCTATACTGAGTACTTTACATTTGTCGACGTTGAATTTCATCTGCCATTTTTCAGACCATTCGAAAAATTTGTTTAGATCTTCCTGTAGTTTTGCCGAGTCCTCGTCAGATTTGATAACACGTCCTATTTTAGTGTCATCAGCAAATTTACTTATGTTGCTGTCTATGCCGATATCTATGTCGTTTATGTATATATAAATAATAATGGTCCAAGTACTGAGCCTTGGGGAACTCCACTTGTGACGTTGCTCCAATGGGACTTAGTGCCGTTAATGCTCACTCGCTGTTTCCTGTCCTGTAACCACGCCCTAGTCCATTTAAGGATGTCACCTTTGATGCCATGAGCTTCTACCTTTCTAATTAGTCTTTCGTAGTGGACTCTGTCGAAGGCTTTGCTAAAGTCGAGATATACCACATCATAATTGTGCCCCTCGTCCACCGATTCGAAAACTGATGAAAAGAATGTTAATACACGTGTTAATTGATAAATACACCTGCAGACTGTAACATAATTCCCGCCATCATCTGTCCCCAGTTCCTCCCAACACCTGTACTATCACAACTGGTCACCTTCACCTCTTCCTGCCACAGGTTTCACGCGACACCTGTTTGATGTAACGTTAATTCAATTGTTGGCTGCTGTATCACACCTGTTAAGTTTAACATTATTCCTACTGAACCTACTGACTGACAAATCATCATCATCCTCCTCCTCCTCCTCCTCCTCCTTCCTTCTCTCTCTTCCTTCCTCTCACCACAAAGCCTCCCTCCCTCCCCTTCCCACCCCTCTCTCTCTCTCTCTCACCCATCCACTCCCTCTCCCACCCCCAACTTCTCTCCTCCCACGCCCATAGTCAACTCACCTGCTTGAAGGGCGCTTTCATGGTGTTGACTCTCTTGACGGAGCCTGGCTGGAGGTGGTTCAGCAACCTGTAGGTATAGAGAAGAAACATGTCAGATATATTACGTAGAGACTGTAGACGAGAGGCCAACACGTACAAAATGACTGAAAGGTCATCTAGTAACTGCAGGTGGGCGGTTCATCACATACAAATTACCTGGAGTTTACCTGGAGACGATTTCAGTTGGCCTTTCCTTCCTAATTTTAAGCTTCCGTTTTCTATGTCTCAACAGTAAGATAAATTAACTCCTAACAATACGAAATTACGACCGTGTCCCCGAATTGGTTCTTCAGCTCTTCAAAGGTTTAATATTTAACCAGACCACAAAAAAAAAAGATTCAGAGACGATTGGAAGACAATAGCTGGTGGTGGTGATTCTTTTGTTGTTATTGTGTACCGTTGAATCGTCCCCCACGATCCCCTCTACCTCTCATCACGCCTTCTACCTCTCCCTCCACGCCTACCCTCTCTCAGCACGCCTATCCCTCTCCCACCACGCCTCCATCTCCCTCCACGCCTACCCTTACACACGCCGGATCTGAACAATGTAAGTCGCATTATTATAGAGTAATTAAAATTTATTGTAATGTTGTAAAAGTTAAATGTAGGTCGTAATCAGGTCATTATGTCCCTCTCACACTACACCAGGTGTTGGCAGGTACAGGCGCCTCACTGTACCTGAACATGAACCAGTGCTGGTGTTGGCTGTGTATAAGAGGTTGTTGTAACGCTATCACAGACACTGCAGTAAAGGTAATGTGGGTCGTGGTGGTGATAATGGTGAGGGATGTGGTGGTGAGTGTGGTGGTGGTCGTGGTGGTGAGTGTGGTGGTGGTCGTGGTGGTGAGGGTGGTGTGAATGAGTCTTTTTTTACATCCCAATGTACTATACTCCATACCCACCAACCCACCCTTATACTTTATCCACTCACCCCCTTCCCCTCTCCACCCCCACAACAAGCAGAGGGTGTTTGCTGTACCTCGTGACCTACACCACCTGGAGTTCCATCACACTAGATGTCATTAAATCCGGACACTAGTTTATGAGGTCATTTCAGGGGTTCAGATGTGACACGTTATGTATACAACTGTGTGTGTGTGTGTGTGTGTGTGTGTGTGTGTGTGTGTGTGTGTAATAATAATAATAATAATAATAATAATAATAATAATAATAATAATAATAATAATAGGTTTATTAATAGAGTTGCAGCCGGTGGCTGAAAATATACAGACTTACGTTTGATTTAGACAAAATGATATAATATGCGTTGAATACATTTACAGGGCTGTACAGTACATGAATCAGTTGTTGTTTATTATTCTAACAATAGATGGGATGGTGCTATTTGTTACCACAAGCGGTACTGAATTATGATGACACAAACAAACGTTATGTTAGGCTGTAACTCATGTCATGTTTATTGGGTGTGCCTGCCCGTATACAGTTGTATAGTGTTGAGATGGAGGCAGATGAGAGACTCAGAGTAGGTTGAGGTGTTGGGTAGAGTGGGGTGAGCTTGTTTGCGTATAATACGCCTGACACAGCGAGTTTGAAGTGGCCAACTTGATCATGTGGTGCCCATCCGGGCACTGCCAGCCTCACTGTAGCTACCCCCATCACGCCACCAACACCTAACCTGTTTCTCCTGAAGACTTTCAACACGTAAGTTTAACTTGTATTTATTGTGTACACAGGTAGAATGTGTCCATTGCATCGTTTATCATTGTGACGACATAAAAATATGGCAAATTAAGTACTCATTGTAAGTATTAAAATTAGACTAATTACATAGCTATGATTGTTATGTAAATATATATTGGATTAGACATTTATGTGATTGCCTATGTATGATTTATTTGAAATACTAAAATGAATTGTATTAAACAGGTTTGACCGAATTGTAATGTTCGAGTTCAACGTCACGAGTCTGAATATTCCTTTAACCGCCTGATTGGCGGTTACACTATTCTTATATCTATCAGTGCGGGCTCTTATGGGCTGAATTTTGTTATAGTGGCGGACTGCGCGAGGTGGGTGGGTGGGTGGGTGGGTGGGGGGGGGGCTGCCGGTGGCAGGAGGTGGCGATGACCGGGGTGGTGCAGTAGTTCACTACCAAACCTTGCTAGTGCTTGGTGGTGGTGGACACTGAGGGATGGTATTTCCAGGGTGGACAGTGCGTTGATGTAGCCGGAGTATTCTGCGCCAAGCATGATTCTGCAGACCCTTTTCTGTACCTTCTCTAGCCGACGTTGTTGGGTGGAGTTGAGAGAAGACGACCAGGCTGGTGATGCATACGTTAGTTTGGGGAGAATAAAGACGTTGTAGATAGTCCTCAGCTCTGGCGTGGGTGTCCCAAGTGACCTAAGTCGTCGTAGCATGTAGAGTCGGTACGAGGCTGCTTTGACTGTATTGTCTATAGTTACACCCAGAAGTTTGGCAGACTGCACTAACTGGAGAGGATGGGCACCCACTGTGACTGCTGGAGCTTGCAGTGGAGTGGTGGCGGTATTGATGTGCATGACTACGGTTTTGGTGTGGTTGATGGTGACCTTGTTCTCTGTAGTCCATGCCTGTAGCCTGTCCAGGGTGCCTTGTAGCGATGAGTAGTCTGGTGCGGTGTTGTCCATTGTAACCCCCACAGTGCAGTCATCCACGTACATCCACCTGTGAGGAGTGTCCGATAGAGCGTCGTTGGTCAGGTTGAGGAAGCACAGTGGTCCATCTTGGTCCCCTGGGGAACACCGCAGGTGAGGTGTTGGAATGTGGAGACGAGCCCTGATACCTCACTGCCTGACGACGTCCACTCAAGAAATCGGTGAGCCATGAGACCAGGTTGGTGGGCAGCCCTCGAGCAATGGCCTTGTTGATAACAGTGCAGTGATCAACAAGGTCAAAGGCATTCCTGAAGTCAACAAGGGCAACGGCCAGTGATGTCTTCCGTTTCTGCAGGTTTTTGTGCAGAAAATCCAGAAAGCTCACTAAGCAGTGTGATGTAGAGGAGGTCCTCATATTGCCAAATTGCTGTGGATCAATTGACTGTCTGTGTGTGTGTGAACTGAATTTGCAGCAGACAGCACCTAGTTTACTGTGCACCCCATACTCATCCTGTGAGCGGTAGCGTAAAAGGATTACAGAGTAGAATATTTCCAATACATTGTTTGTTTAAGTCAGTACATAGAATTTTGATAGGTACCAGTTGCGAAGTGTGGATACAGCCTTAGTATATCAGCTATCTTGTCATCAGAGATAAAGTGCTGTCCCTATAAGGTTATTTTTGTTTTCAGTGTGAGACACAGTGTTGGAGTGTGTGGCCATATGTCTGGCCACACACTTTACATTTAGTTTTGTTCACATCTGCTTGTGTGTGTGGGGGGGGGTTGTTTCGACAAACTCATCACGAAAGGGTCAATTAGTTATGAACCGAACACGTAACAAGAGTTCCAGCTGACCTCTATTCCTGATTTATTCATACATATTATAATGACCATAATCTCCCTTATTAATATATGAACATTTTTGCCATTACTTATCATATAATGGACAGGAGTTACTTAAAGTATGTACAGGTATGTGGGAGGAAAGAACGCCTGGTCGAACAAGCCCAGTCCAGCGTGGCGAACCCGTCCTGATTTTTAGTGAAAACTTGGGAAAAAAATCCAATACCGAGAATTATTCGGTGACCGGACGGCTGGCAGCGGAGGTGAGCGTCTATCAGATACACAGACCATCACTCATTCCTGAAGGTTCGAAACTAAACTTTCCCCCCTAAAAATAGGGATGAAATAACGTATTTAAATGACTTGACATAGCCCCAGTAAGGCGATAACGAACTCAACCTTATGAATTATATATAACCCAGTACCTCGACAGCTGCATTACATACTATACAAACAAACATGATACATAGTCAAGGGCCTTATTAAATAATCATTCCATCAACACACTTATACAGAAACAAAAATATTCCTTAAACCTTTTAATACTATAATATTTCTTTGATCCTATGGCTGGCAGCGGTGTTCACTATCAATATAAAATATTAGCTTAACAATTAGCGAGTCGTGTGTTTCATTATATTATTAGACCAACATACTCATACACATAAATTAAAAGGCATAGCAGGTTCGGAGATATTTTTTTAATTTTTCTTCTGATCGTACAGCCGGCAGCGGAGGTGGCCATCCGGGTCACAGCATTAAAAAAGTACACCGAAAAAATAAAGTATAAACGTGCGAGTCGTGTGCTTTATTATACAACTACATCAACACACTCACTAGCACAAGAGACAAATTTACATGGTGTGTAAATGAGGTACAATTTGAGTAAAATGACAAGCACGAGATGGTATACACTATATCAGCAGACAACGGCGGCCTGTCACACACTGTCCTCACCACGATTGAAAAATGACGAGTGTGGGGTCCCGGCGGCAGTTCCCTCTGTGTAAAGTGCAAACAAGAACAGTTTATGTCTCGCACCCTCCGCCACCTTCAAGACCCGGGTTAAGGACGTTTGAGTAACAAGAACCGCTTATACATTTCACACCGCCCGCCAGCCCTCCCCGCCGTCTCCAAAGGCCGCGTTATCATGGCAACGGCGCCTCAGTTGTGCTCACTACCTGCGTCACTATTCTTTTGCTATGAAAAGAGTTTTAAAGAGAGAAAATTCCCGTTATTGATGAAGAAAAACATCCATTACCAGCGTTACTGTATTCCTCATGTCACAAGTAATATTTTATGGACAGCAAAAACCATCGTTACGAACCAATAACATGGGCAATAAACCCTTCACCGTTATCAAGTACAGTAGTAACAGAAGCCATCGTTACGTTTGTTCTACATCACTGTTGGTAACGCTCGTATCTGTTACTAAAAGAACCACTTAACAGGTGATGTATTGGTGCAAGCAGCAGTTAATGTGTTTACCCGGGCCGTTAACCCGCCCCTCTACCACCACACCGCTTGAGATTAATAGTCTGCTGTAACTCAACACCCTCCAGCTACTACTACTATGACTACTAAACTACTATTACTAATATAACTTTTTTTAAACGTAGCCTCCCCCAATAGTCACATCTTC